AAAAAAAAAAAAAAAAAAAGAAGTTATTACCATCCTTAGGCCTGAAGAAGCAAGGGGGAGAAGTAGTTCCTAGAATTCAGAGTGCTGAAGGAGAGAGCTACTCTACTGAAGCTGTCACCTCTGGCAAGGGAAGGAGCCAACCCTGGACTGGGGAAATAAATGCCAACCTCACTTGCTTTGCTCCTCCTCTCTCTTGCCAACGCTTCCCTTTGGCCAAACCCAACTGGAAGCCAGGAAATCAGAGACCCCAGTGATGCTCAAGACACAGAGCAGGGTGGGAATGGTGGAGAGTACATCTGGAAGGGCAAACAGAAGATGCCCAGCACACAAGGGAGTCCTGCAATATTCTAACATGCATTTTCCTTTAAAGCTAAACTACTCTTTATGTCATGAACAAATTCCTGCGGACAAAAAAAAACTTAGCCTCATGATAATAGCAGAGGAGACTACAAAGACTAGAAACCTCAAATACAGTAGTTCAAAGTCATATTATACTTCACAAATATTTTTAAATCTTAGTGTAGTTTGATGTTAAAACTCCTGAAGATAGGAGGGAAATGGTGACAAATGAACAGGTGCAAGTAAAGACTTACAAAAGAAAGTTCTGAAAGGCTGTGGGGTGGGATAGGAGGTAAGGGCAGTACCATTATGGGTGCTGGAGGCCACGCTATGGAGTGCAGGCTCTTCTTGTAGGGGATGGATGCAATATATAATGAATCCTAGTCAGAACTGACAATATGAGGCAACAGAACAGGAAAAAGAGAAGAAAAAAACCTGGGAATCCATTGACCTGGGTTCTAGTCACTGCTTTGCCAGAATTTAATAATGAGATCTTAGAAAAATAACTCAAAAGTCTCTATGCTTTGGTGTCTTTGTTTATGAATATGGAAATAAAAGATAAAAATATCCAACTAGTAAATGTCACTTCTAACAAATAGTAGGTTATAAACTGCTCCAAAAAATGTTAAAGAAGTTAGTTTATAGTCTTGCTGCTATTGATACAAGTACTGGTATCACCTAGGAGCTTGTTAGAAATGCAGATCTCCAGCCCTACACCAGATCTACTGAATCAGAATCTGTATTTTATTAAGAACATCAAGTGATTTGTATCCACATTAAAGTCTGAGAAGCACTGGTCTACACCTAGGTTTCTGGCTTAGGACAGTGGGTCAATGATGGTGTCATTCACCAACTGGAGGGCTATAGGAAGAAGAAGCCTTTTGGGAAAAAGGTGCTGAGGTCCATTTGGAACAAGCAGGGACTAAGTCACCCGGGAACACCTGGATGAGTAATTCCTGTAGAGGAGGGGCAGTAAAAGAGGGGAATAGGTTATGGGTTTTGTTTTGTTTTTTTAAATTAGATATCAAAGAACTGAACAGATCTAATATCTGGATGCTGTGCATATGCTGTGCTCCCCACTTCTGCACTCTCTTCACTGTACCTATCTAATTCTGCCTCAAGTAATATTTTTCTCACATGCCCAACCTCTTTAACCCTCTTTCCCTTTTCCTTCTCTCTTCCAAGTCTTACTCACTTGGTCCAGGAAAATTTCTCTCTTCCCCTTCCCACTCCCCATCCCTTTTTCCTTCCTTCATTTCTCTAACCATTGTTCCAACTTAAATTCAAAATGGGAATGAGCATACAGTAGTGCTTTGTATCAATAAATACAGAAAGGGGAGTTAAAAAAAAAAAAAAAAGATCCCATCAACTTCTAAAGATCCAAAAATGGCCAGCAGTCCCTTTTAGAATCTCCACCATCTCTACAAACTCTATAAACCCCTTGCCATCAAAGTAGATTCTGACTCATAGTAACCCTACAAGGAAGAGTAGAACTGCCCCGTAGGGTTTCCGAGACTGTAATCTTTACGGAAGCAGACTGCCACATGTTCCTCCTGGGCAGCGGCTGGTGGGTTCAAACTGCTTACCTTACAGTTACCAGCTGCGTGGTTAACCACTGCGCCACCAGGGCTCCTACGAACTCCATATCCTCCTCTAATTAAACCCATTTAACTTTCTAGCTAAGTAAAAATAACTCTATCTTAATCAATGTATTCAATATATTCAAATACTAGGAATGCAACACCATTGCTTTGTCTCATTTCAGCCATACTATGAATTAGCCGGGCTCTCCCAAAGCTATCTAAAGAATCCAATCACCATTTATCATATTACCTCCATAATGAAATAAAATCTACGTTCCAAACAAATGACTTACAAATGAACTCTTAGAATACAACCTGTTCCTTAATTGGGAACTATATGTAATTGTATCCCACATGCTTCATGGGCAATAGTAAAAGACTTCAAAAAGCAAGAGTCTATTAATGGAAATGTAATGATAAGGCCATGTTTGCACTTACTGGAAATCATGGTCACTACTGCCTAACTAGATATTCTGGTACACTTTCAAAGCTTTTTCTCTGAAGAGAAAAACAACAAAATTTTAACATAAATCACAAAGTTCTTCCTAAAGTATTCAGTCACAGTATGCTGCCTCCTTAAGTCATAACAGAGAGAAAGAAATACAGGAATGAATGCTACTATAATTCACCACTACCACCAGGCAAAATTATTTACCTTAGCCATTTCAAGTTATTTAAGTAGCAATGCTGAATTTTTTTCTTTGAACTTAGAAAATTTGTCTTTACTTCCCCCTAAAATCCAATCTGTAAGTCATGCTTTCTTATAAAATGTTTTTTTACTGTAAGTATAGTAGGAGTAAAAGATTACTAAAATGTAGTGGGAGTAAAAGATTATATATTCTATTTTACAAAGAGATACCCAGCATTTCACAGTTAATGACAAAACATAAGAGGATATGTAAGCTTCTGTTAATTGTGTACTGTTTGCACACAATTCCTTAATTCAAAGGTAAAGTAGTGTTCACTGTCAGTATTCTTTCATTTCCAGCAATTTCAGAGCCCAACAATTTAGCTGAATAGACAAAGAGAGAGGCAGAGCCCATCCAACTTACTATCTGGGTCTTCAAGGGGAATATCATTACAAGAGTCTGTATCTGAGTAAGTTCTTCGGCGTCGATGGGAAAGTCGATGAAGCGTAGACACTGGTTCTTTTACAGAGTGGCTAATCCTGCAAATTAAACAAAAAGCATTAAATTAGGGGGGAAAAAAAGGCACCAAATTCTAAGGTCTTAAACAAATAAAAACCTCCTCAATTTAATTGGAGTTTTAAATGACTTCTTGATAAATGAAGAGAAACTATTTTTATACCAAGGAACTATCTTAGCAACATTTTACTCATTCAGCGGTCAAACCGCAAGTAAGTCAAACCATCTAGAACCCAGCTGGTAACCTGGAGAAGGTGGACTGTGAGCAGAGCTAAGTGGAAAAGGGGTATAGTGAAGAAGCAACTTCATCTATAGGGGAGGGTCTAGCTATATAGAAGACTTCATCAGAAATCCAAGGTTTACAAATGTTTAAAAAATAAGAGTTACGGATTTCACAAGCATAGCTATCTAGTGTCAATCCATAACTGATTAAAAATAGCATATTGAAGGGGATGGGCAAGTAGGTAAGGAGCATTCTAAAGGCAGACTCACTGACAGCACTGAAAAAAGATAAAGATGGCAAAAAAGAAGGCTATTAACTATTAAAACAAAAAAATCTATCTAGGCTCAATTAAACATAGAAGCAAATCACTACCACTCCTCAACAGCAACTTGGCCTCCACTGTAGGACAGCCCCAAATTACTGTTCCCAACAATGACCCTCATTCATCAAGAAAAAATTAAATTGTGCTCAGTGTATCTTATTTAATAGGGCAGAAAAGAATAAAATAAAGTCTAGAAAAATTTCTATCATAAAAATAAAAGTTTGTCAAAGGGATTAAGCTTCCATCTTTCTGGAAAATTCAATTGGTAGAACTCTTTATTCCCTAAAGGAGTTGGATACATACATCATCATCACGGAACCCCTCTGAGCACATGACAGCTCAAAGATCACATAAGCATCAGAGAAAAAAAACAAAATGTGACCTGACATTCTTTTTGTAGAGAAATAAATGCTAGTTTTAATAGTTTATCACTTTCTATAGTGATGCTATAATTGCATCACTTTCCAAAGAACCAAATAAGACAACCAAAGCAACTTAAAAGAATGTTGCCTACCAAAATAAAGAACAGTTTAAGAACATGGGATCTCAGCAAGCTCTATCTAGAAGGTAAACTTTTTAAATGTGTTGATATCAACTTTTAAATATCAATTGGTTTTTCTTTCTCTTCTACGGTTTTTCAGAGAGATCTTTATCTTCTAATAAAACAAAAGCTCAGTATTAATATATGATGTCATAAGAAGCTGTAGTAAAATAAGCCTCAGCTTTGAAGCTCTGATACATCACTAACGGATTTCTACCAGCCAACATCTGATATAATTTCAAACATCTAAAAGTGCAATAGCTGGCAAGGTGCTTACCTTACTAGTTAATTTATTCACTCATTCTTTCTTTACTGATTACCTACTGTGGCAAGCCCTATACTACATAACAAGATACAATGCTAAGCAAATCAGAACCAAACCTAGTCCCTACAGGGCTTGTATTCTGCACTACTTATTAGAAGCCCAAAGAATTCCCCTAAGTAAGTATAATTTTGAGAGAACTTGGCTGAAAGAAAAAGTAATTTTACCTCTCTGAACTGCAAGTACCAGGGTGACTGACAGAGCGCTTCATCTGGAAATTGAAAAAAAATTGGCACAATTCACAACAACTAGAATAATGCAGCTCTAAGATATTATTATATTGTCATAACATAAATTCACTCAGAAAAGATGACTGGCAAAAAAAATTTTTTTTTTTAACAGACTCAAGTAGCATAATGTCAAGCTTTCTCCCTAATAGTCATTAACTGGAATCTTTCCCAACTTACACAAAAAACATGCTATATTCTTTACTCAGTACGAAAAACCAACTTTTATAATGTTTTATTAATGTATGTGTATATGCATGTAAAACCCGTTGCTGTCCAGTCAATTCCGATTCATTGCAACCCTACAGAATGGAGTAGAACTGCCCCATAGGGTTTCCAAGGAGCGGCTGGTGCACTCAAACTGCCAACCTTTTGGTTAGTAGCCAAGCTCTTAACTACTGTGCCACCAGGGCTCCACTGCATATATATAATATATATAAATATATAAAAAACAGGACATATAATTACTCCAAGAATCACACTATTTATGATGGAAAGGAATATCTAGCAACTAAGGAAGTACTCTAGTAATTCTCACTCTTTCTTATTTTTAAGGGCAGAAGTAGAGTCTCATAGCAGAGCTTCTCTTTACCATTCATTATTCAGGTAGCTGATATACAGATGTTCTAAAGTGTGGTTTTCATGGAAGAAGGGCATTAATAATTTAAATCTTAAAGAACTCAAAAGAAGAACCTTAAGCCTCAAATAGGTTTCTAAAACATGTATTTTTAAAAAGTAAATATCTGATTAGGCAAACAAAAAAAACAGGCACAACATAAATAAATATGCCAAATACTAAACATAATTTAGAAGATACAACTACTCCACCAAAAAAATAGAGGGAGGCAGCCAAGTAAAACAGCCTATTTCAAAGTTTCACAAGAGAGCGGAAAAACAAAGTTTGTATTAAAGGCTAAGGATGGCTGCTTTTATATACACAGGTCCAAGACCCTTACAAGCCCAGGTCTAACATTTATGTTTATGTAAATACATTCTGCATTTGCCTATCAGCCACAGTTGCTCTGACAAATCCCAATTGAAATGGTTAACAGAAATAACCCACCTAATACGCAGTAGGAACATTAATGTGATTGACATTAAGATGCAAGTGGACATTAACCTCTCCTATAATATAAATCACTTCCTTTAAGATTACCCCCCCATGACATCTCCATTATAATAATCACTCAACTTGTGGATCAAAACGACAACTGTCTGAATTTCCATGATGATTTGAAATAAAGTGTATTCTAAAAGATATGAGATTAACTACACAACATTGTTATAAAGATCATGTTAAATAGCTGAATTGTCAAATCTTTCAGCTTTATTTTTCAGTCAAGTTATTTAAAAAAAAAAAAAATGTGCCCATGAAGACTGTCTGACATTACTTTTATTAGCGATGTGTCTCCAGAACTAATTACCATAATCCACAATTCTTGCTTTATGTATGAAGCAAAAAGGCAGAGCTGAGAAAAATAAGCTGTCTCTAACCTAATATTTCCTAGACCAATTTACTGGATTTCCTTTAGTTTTTATACTAATAAAAGGTTTTGGTTTAAAAGAAACCAAACACACATATAGCACACACATGACTTCTCTGGACAACAAAGCATGTGTTAACAAGGCATTCTTCTCAGAAGTTCAACGAGAAAGCAAGGAAGCTTTGAGGTGTTTTTATTGTACCTGACTTTATACAGTTTTGAAAAGGAAAAAAAACAGCATATTAATTTCATGAACCGTAATTAACAGTTCACAACATATCTATAATTGTTCTAAAAAGCAACATTGTCAAACTGAGTCCTACTGAACACCACAGTCCTGAGAGGTTATTCAAAACCAACGAAAAGGGTTCACTTGTTAAATAAATTTCAGAAACATTGCACATTACCTCTTCCTATGAAATTCATAATATATGTTAGCATAAAAGAGGCTCTGAGGAGTCCTATGACAAAGAAACTCAATTCAAGTTAACCTAGCACTTCCCAAACTAATCTGGCCATAAAACTCTTTTTCACGGTATTCCTGCCTCAGAGGCCACTTGATTAGAAAGCAATGATCTAAATACATTTAGGTAATAAATTTGCTAAATCCCATACAACTAACTTTGCTGTGGAGGGTATGAGAACCCAGGGATAAAGTGGACCCTATTCTTTCTTCTAATAAATTTAGGTAATTGCTAAAATAGTAGCCATGAACCCTTACAAATGTGTCATTCTTCTTTCTACAAAATACTTTGATAAAAAAATTAAAAGTTGCATCAAACCTTATGCCACCTCTGAGTTCCCCACAGCATGCTAGAGCAAGTTTATTGGCTTGGAAAGGACAACAAATTCACCACCCGGGGGCAAAGAGTACGTGTTGTTCCGGAGTAATCAGATGGTAAAAAAGTAACATTAAGTGCCTGCACCTACAGCAGGTCAGCCACTTCACAACGACCCTCTTATGTAGACAAACCTCTATTGTATACATGAAGAAACAGGTTCAAAGAGATTAAGTAACTAACCTACTCAGATACACATGGTGGATCTAAAGTTCAAATCCCGATGCAACCCATCGTTTCCACTATGACACATCATTTCAAATCCCTTAAAATTCCTTTAGAGATGTTTAATTTTACTCCATTATGATGTTTTTACCAAGTAGAAAAGTGCTCCACAACTGTTTTCATGTCACAGCACACACAGGGAATTGTAACATTTGCCTGGCACACTGGGGAAAATGGATAAAGCAGCTCATGGCAGGCCCTGCCTAGTCCCTCTAAGGAGGAGGGGCTCAGGATCTTGGCAAACATGTGCTGAGCTCACCAGCTGAGAAGCTCCCATGGAGAATAGGAGTCCTCTCCCACCCCCACAACAAAAAAATTCAACTGCCCCCCACCACCAATCTACTCCTAGAAATATTTTTAAAAAATAAGACAAAAAAACATGCAATTCCACTGGGAGAAAAACAAGAATTCCAACCATCTGAACCGGAGAAGGTGACACAGGAGAAACTAAGGGATCCGGATGGGGCAGTTGGAACATCTCAGGTTTAAACTTGGCATTTGCTATCTTCACACATTCCTCAAGCGTTGTGATGAACGTATTACATGTGGCACTAAGCAGAGAAGAGGCTTCATTCATGTTCTGAAAAATCACATACAGAGTTGAGCAGACTCACACACAACTATCTGGAATCATACATAACTTTATAATCAAGTAATGAAACATTGTTTCCAATGGACACATTACTACATTATGCTCAAATTTGTTAAAAATAAACTACCTTAGAAAATTAAAGCAACACATGAATAATAAATGTGCCCCTCAAATAAGTAACGTGTGAACCTGATTCCGAGAAAAAAATAAGTTTTGCATTTAAACTAAATGTCATATTGAAAAACTGAACAAAATCTTATCTTCAATAAGCCTAAGTGATAATTTTCTACTACATATAGTTTAATAAAATCAGAATTCTGAAGGTGGTCACAGGCAGTGTAACATCCTGAGAGTGAGTTAGAGATGGTACAATTCATATTCACCCTATAGCCATTTTCCCCCTTCTTCCTTGGTAGAATAAAAACCCAATTTTGTTTAAAACAGCAAAGTGCCCTGACCCTGGGGAATGAACACAGACTGGTCTAAGCCAATCATGGCTATTCCAGTCCCCTTTGCCAAATACTCATTTTCCTAGTTTCCCTAGGCCTGGCCAAAAGAGACGATCAGAAGTCTGCTGGCGAGATGGTGGGATTTTTGTTGCTTGATAAAAGGCAAGGATGGCAAGTTGAGAGATCTCTCTCCAACCCAGCCACCGCATTGCCTCCTGCCTGTATGTTATCTTAAAGCCTCAAACATGAGGAGAAAAACTCGACACACCAAGAATGGTAGAGTGAAAGGACAGAACGAGCCTGGGCCCCTGATACTGTCACTGAGCTGCCGGAGCAAACTGAGAGCACCAACCTCCAGAGAGCTTGCTGTGAAACAATAAGTGCCCTCAGGGTTTAATCTACTGTTAGTTTGGTTTTCTGTTATCTGTAGCCAGTATAACCTACCTCACACAAGATTCCTCCCCAACAGGTAGAAGCAAGAGAAAGCCACAGGAGAAGTAGAAAAATTCCTTCTCCCACTTGTAGCAAATTAGGCAAAAGAGGACAAGGAACTATGCTAGCCTTTTCTATCAGGAGAGTAGCAGGGTTCACTGGTACTATTTTACCAGAAAAAGTAAGCCTATTTCATATCCAGGTGCTACTTACCTGAATTTTGATTCCTACATCACTGTTCTGGGGATTTTTTTTTTTAAAGTTATTTCATAAAGCTAAATTATCACCTCTCAGTAGCTGAAGCTGGAATCTTATTACCAAAAGAAAGACAACAGCAATTATCCAATGAATTCATACAGTCAGCCTGGAGAACAAAAACAAAGCCTGGAATGTTTATTCCCTGCCCCAACCCACAAATTATGAGATTGGCTGTAAAGACAGGCCTTGAGTCCCTTGAGAAATGTGCTGCTTCCTGCTTTACTGCAGCTGCACAGATACAATCTAGAAGATCCCTTAGAGTTCCAGATACTCTGCAGTAAGGAGAACACAAAATAGCTGAAAATAACTCATTCTGAAAATGCTTCTCTGTCATCTTATGGGAAGTATCTCACCCACCAAACCATTGCCGTCGAACCGACTCCAACTCCTAGCGATCCTAAAGGACAGAGTAGAACTGCCCCATAGGGTTTCCAAAGAGCAGCTGGGGGATTCGAACTGCCAACCTTTTGATTTGTACCTGACCCCTTAACCACTGTGCCACCAGGGCTCACCCACCAGCATACTGCAAACGGTAACCAAACCGGCAGGGATCATCTTTGCTGTACCTCTACACTGGGAGATGAGTGAGTCTCATCGTGGTGAACAAATTCCTGAATGGTGTGAACTTGCTGCATTAGGAGGTCACAGTAGAGGCGAAGTTCAGACATTTTGGTTTTCAGAGATTCGCTGGTTTCACTTATTTCTGAAAGGAACATATAAAAATGTTCAATTATTTTCATATTCTTTGGGCAACATAACCAAACGGGATCATTAAAAAAGTAAGGCAATAAACATAAACACCTACTGCTTAAGAGATGTGAGAACTTGGAAATGGGGGATTCACGGGTCCTGAGAAATACCCTTCTCTTTATATAACTGTACATAAAATGACAGCTATAGTCTGCCATAAAGTTTAGGTAAATTAATTTCCAGAGACAGGGTGATGAATAAAAGACCACTGGATGTTTTATACAGGATATTTTCCATCTATTGTTCATTGTCTTTCATTTGAAAAGGACTTGTATTTCTTCTTTTCTGAATTGGCTTTTCTTGCCCTTTACTCATTTTTCCAGTTCTAATGCTTGGTTTTTTTCTTAACCAGTTGCCATCAAGTTGTCATCGACTCCAATCCATGTGTGTCAGAGAAGAACTGCACTCCATAGGGTTTTCAATGGCTGATTTTTTGGAAGTAGATTGCCAGACCTTTCTTCCAAGGTGCCTCTGGGTGGACTGGAACCTCCAACCTTGCAGTTAGCAGCTAAGCCTGTTAACCATTTGTACTACCCAGAGACTCCAGTTTTTCTCTTGATACTATATAAACCAATGATTTGTAAAAGTTAGGATTAAGGATAGCAGTCTTTTTTCTATTCTAAATATCACAAATACTTTTCCAGATCTGTCAGCTGCCTAACAATTTTCTTTATTGAATGTTTTGGCATATCAAAGTTTCTAATTTTCATGTAATTAAAATTACTGTATATAAACATTCATTTATTTCCTTCTATTCCTTCCATGGCTTCATTTTTACATTATACTATTTTCAAAATATTTTTAAGAGCTATATTTTCTTTTCTCTAATATCTCTAGGCAGATTAAATATCCAGCCATAATCTTAGCCACTCACCTGCCAATACCTTCTAAACTAGAAATTTAAGCAGCAGGGGAAGGAAAAAATACACACAGGAGATTCTGGTGCTTCTCCATAATCACTGCACCAGGCCACTGGCACTGCTGTGTGGCACTGCTAGCCACAGAGGACCAAAGCAGCTCTATCTGCCTATTTGATCTCACCTAAATCAACTACTGGAGGCCCTGGGTAGTGCAAACAGTTAACACACTCAGCTGGTGACTGAAAGTTTGGAGATTCAAGTCTACCCGGAGGCGCCTTGGAAGAAAAGTCTGGTGATCTACTTCTGAATAATCAGCCATTGAAAACCCTAGAGAGCACAGTTCTACTCTCATACACATGGGGTCACCATGAGTTTGAACAGACTTGAAAGCAACTGATTTTTTAAATCACTTTCTACCTCAACTTAAGTCCATTTCTTCTTATCCTACCCTTAGCATACTCTATACATGATGTTCTTTCACATACTTGACATCATTCATTATAACTTCAATCCTGTTGTTGTTGTTAGGTAACGTCAAGTCCGTTCAACTCACAGAGACCCTATGTACAAAAGAATGAAACACTGCCCGATCCTGCGTCATCCTCACAATCACTGCTATGTTTGAGCCCATTGTTGCAGCCACTATCAACCCATCTTGTGGAGGGTCTTCCTCTTTTTCGCTGACCCTCTACTCCACCAAGCATGATGTCCTTCTCAAGGAAGTGGTGGTCCCTCTTGGTAACGTATCCGAAGTGTGTCAGATGATGTCTCACCATCCTCGCTTTTAAGAAGCAATCTCGCTGTAAATCCTAGGCCTTCGTTTTTCAATACCCATACTTCAGTTGCCTTCACCAATTTAAGTAACCTTTATTGTTTTTTAGAGATTACTTAGTTTTTTAATTTAAAAAGTAATACTACTCAGTGGAAACTTTTAGAAAATAAAAAAATACACATATAGAAAAAAAATCAAACAACTATAATCACTACCCAGATGTAAGTACAATTATTATTTTCTCATATCTGAATTTAGTTAATACCCTAACTCATTTGCTCTGCTTTTGATTTTTATTTAATCTTTTTAAATGGGCAATATACACACATGGCAAAGTCAAAAGGTAGGAAAGGATATACACTGAAAATGAGTCTCCCTCCCACACATTACCCTTTCAGAGGTATAAAGTTAACCAATTCTCACATATCTTTCCTAAGCCAGTAAAGGCATACTAACACTATATGTAGTTCTGAATCCTGTTTTTTCAATTGTCATTCAACATTGCACACTTTCCCACATTGTGAAAATTCCTTGTAAACATTTTAACAACCACATAAGCTATCAGCCTACAGAAGCAGTGTGAGATATACACACAGTAATTTGGCCTTTGTCCTTGGTTCCTGAGAGGTAACTCTCAAACCTTGGAATTTAAGTATCTCCAATAACGAATCCAGACTACACCTAACTAACAGGTTGGGTGAGGTGAGGAGGCAACTCTGTGGTAAGGACTAGCAAGGCCAGAGAGCCCCACTGCATAACACCTCATTATCTCCTCTTGAAATCGATCCACCTCAGGGGAGAGAGACTACAGTCTGAATTAAGTAACGAAACCTAAAAAAAAGTCTGGACATGGAAGCTCCATGAGCTTCCTGGTTGATAAAAAAAATATCCATGCAGTGAAAAGGTATTATGTCTCCTTTTGGGACAGGGAAGCTCGTTAGAAAGCCTCCAAGACTTTGCCCTATGCATCTCTTTGTTTGGTATCCTTTTTTCCTACAGTAAAACTGTAATCATAAGTACAGCACTTTCCATGAGTTCTGTGAGTTGTTCCAGCAAATTATTGAACCCAAAGGAGTAGCAGGACCCAGCAGGTCAGAAGTGAGGGAGCCTGGGGGGACTCCCAAACTTGTGGCTGGCATCCTGAAGGGGCAGAAAGAAACCCCTGAATTTGTAGTCAGCAGGTCAGAAGTTAGGGTGTTGTGCAAGCTCGCAAACTTGAGGCTGGCATTTGCTTACTTGGCAGTCTGAAGGACAATATCCTTTTAACTTGTGACACCTGACCTAGCACCAAGTGGCTACAGTCAGAGAAAGGAATGCCGCATGGGCAACTGACGTCAAAACTGAACAGAAAAGTGGGAAAGTGGATATCTGATGATTCTTATCCTTGTAAGCAGCACACAGTTTACTCAACTATTTCCCTAAATTTAAACCTCTGCACTGTGTACAAATTTTTTACCACGATATTATTCCCTTTACTAAATTACTAAAAGCAAACATGACAAATTTACATTTACGTTTAAGAAAATACTGTCCCACAGGGAAAAATCTATTAATTACCTTTTTCTTTTTTAGTCCTAGTATCAGTCAAACAGGCTTTGGAGCTCCCCAGAGCAACCAGCCACCTTTGTCTTTCAGCTGCATTCACCGCTTTCATATAGAAATGCTGCTCTCCTGGAATGATTAATTCCATTCTTGTGTTGTCTGCTGAATGGACTGTGATGATAAACAAATGGAAATACAGTCACAGACATAAGTAATTCGCGGAGAATCAGATCATCACTCTTACACAGTATCAGATGTAGTAGATGGTTCAGACACCTAAGACAACAAACTATGATCTAAGATGTAGGCAGTGCCGCTCCCTAAGGGGCTATCTAGTAGCACCTTCCAAACTACCATTCTCACATATACTCAGGCTGGCAGTGGTGCCAAACTTGTGGTGGAATATGAAAGAGAAAACAGTGATGAATAAACTACTGAGAAGTGAGAACCAAGAACTCCCCTGGAGACTACCTGTAGCACCTTGAATACACATGGCATTGCCACACTTATCACACACATTGTTTACTAACTTCCTTGAAAGCAGAGTTCATGTTTTGGTATCCCCAAGCCTAGGAAAATGTCTGGAATATAAGTGTAATAAATGGTAATTTATGGCCACCTTCCACTGGAACTGTACTTCTCAACTAATGGAGCATGTCATAATTACCTGGAAGGTATATGTATTTTGGAGACTTTTCCCTCTTTCCCTGCCCCTACCTCCTTTCCTATCCCTCCCCTCCTTAATACTCTGACAGGAGAGCTAAACAAGAATGTCATGCTGAGCCAATCCCAAACTTTTTTTGTAAGACTACGTAAATTTGTGTTAACCAAAAAAACCAAACCCACTGCCGCCAAGTTGCTTCCAACTCATAGCAACCCTATAGGACAGAATAGAACTGCCCCATAGGGCCTTCCAAAGCTGTAATCTTAATGGAAGCACGCTTTCACATCTTTCTCCCGGAGAGCAACTGGTGGGTTCCAACTGCTGACCTCTCAGTTAGCAGCTGAGCACTTAACCACTGTGCCGCCAGTGCTCCTTAAATTTGTGTTACATGATTATTAATAAACAAGTATTTACTCGGCTCAGAATAATGCTGGTAGAGTGGAAGATGGGGGGAGAAAAATATAGTCTTTGCTGACAATTTAACCCAGGAAACAATCTGGCAGATCAAAAATAACCACCAAATGTTAATGCTGAACTCTCTGGTGTAGATTTCATGTGTAATTACAATTGGGAGGAAAATAAGAAAAAGCAGGAAATTAAAAAAGGCTTCAAGAAGAATTTGACGACAGCAGGATTTGGTTAAGAGAAAAACTGTATGAAAAAAGGCCTAGATGAGGGAAAAAAACCACAGAATCTGTGGCGGATATAGGGAGACAAGCCTAAACAGAGCCTTGTGATGTATTGCAGAGTAATGATATTCATGAATGGACAGGCTAGGTAGAGCCAAATTATGAAGGGCTCAGGAAGTCTGGTAGAAGCCCTAAATTAGATTATTAATTACTGAAAATACTGGCCAGATGACTCAAGTGTATTTGGTAGCTTCAACCAAGAGCTCATCATGTCAAAGGAACTATCTTTCATGAAGGGCAAGTATACAAGCTATAGAGGAGAAATGAGAAAGGTTTTAAGGGAGTGTAACATTCACTCCTCTTGTGTTCTAGTTTTTCCTTCAATTCTCTTTGAAGGATAATTCAATACTTTTCATTATTATTTTGTCTGCTTTAATCCTACCTACTTCCTCCCCCACTGCCCAACCACACATACAAATGAATCAATGGTCCATGAAACCTTCCTTCATAAAAGTTACTCAGCATGACCCCTTGCATTATCTCTTCCTTTTAGGAAGGAAAGGAGAACATCTCTATCAGAGCTTCTCTCTGATCCAGAAAAGAACAAGAGTTTATGAATCTAACTTCACACTTTATGAAAACCCAACAGAACTGACCCCACCATCTTTAGAGCTCAGTGTCCAACATTTACAACACATTTCTACGATGAAAACAAAAGAGAACACTTGTAGACTCAGCATGGACAATAACGCAGCATCACAAGAAACTGTTTTTTAAGTCAAAAGTGGAGGACTAGTACAAGTACTTTGAATTTGAATTCAAAGTATAATTATAGGAGAAATATTGAAAACTGTGGTTAACGATGCTAAATGCTTATTTTCTTATTTACTGGTTACTAAGGAAGGAGCTCTGGTGGCACTGTGGTTAAAGCAGCTCAGCTGCTAACCGGCTACTTCGCAGGAGAAAGATGTGGTCATCTACTTCCGTAAAGATTTACAGCCTTGCACACCCCATGGGGCAGTTCTACTCTGTCCTACAGGGATCCTATAGGGTCGCTATGAGTCAGAATCAACTTGACAGCAATGGGTTTTTTGTTTTTGTTTTTAAACTTGGTTAGAAAAGGTTTTTTCCTCTTAGCTGGAATATGATGAAGAACCCTTTACTACCTAACCTCAAACTCCTCTAATTCTGTATATTCACTTACCCTTAATTTCACAAACTGCCATCTTTATACTTCCTTTACTCCCTTTGCAAACATCATCCTGTGAATCATAGTAGGACAGGATTCCATTATCTAAAACAAACCAACGAGGTTGCCAACCTGCAAAGACCATAAATAACAAAAGGTTAATAAGGAGAAAGAAATTACTTTACCGTATAGAAAACGGTCATTTCAAACCTTGCCATCCACGCTATTTCTTGGCTCTAAAATAACATTCTGACAATGAAATTTTTATCAAGTCTTGCCCAAGATGTTCTTGCATCAATCTATACTTTGTTGGGAAAGATTTCTGAGGAAATCTCTAGCTCAACCTAAGTATGGGGAGTAATATCTTTATTCTGGTTCACAACGTTCTCATTAACAGCCCACAAGACCCATCCTCGATAATAGCCATACACAGGGTACAATGCCAACTCTTCTCTTTTCCTAAAAGGAACAGACTTGGATTATAACATAATGGAAAAGGCAACAGAAGACGGGGATTCTAGCTCCACTCTCATTCTTGCAGATAACCTGAAGTATATCTTTTCATTTCAGTAAACTTTTAAAATTTCCAATTTCCAAAATGAGTGGGTTGAACTCTATGACCTCTCAGGTGCCACTCAGCCCTCTAATTCCAGAATGTGACTTTCCCTTGATTTATAAAATATGTTGCCTAAGCAAACTCCCCTGCGCACATCAAGTGCCAAATGAGTTTCAGTCGCTTACACAGAAACTGCATATCCTGTGGTGAGAGCATGGATTTCCTCTCTGCTGCTATACAGTGAGGCAGAAGCTGCTAGAAACTGCAATCATTCATTTAATTAATATTTATTCAATGACTAGAGCACACAACTACCATAGACTTGGCCCTGAGGCAAAGCTGGTAATAAGGATGATGGCCTCCCTCAGCGCCCAACTCTGACTTCCCTTACAGGTCAAACTCAGTGTTCCCTGGAATCTTATCGAGCACACTACTAATCTGCAACACTTCACTGACTAAATAACACAGTGATCATGCTAGACGCAGTGTGACTATTCTTGTTCTTTCTGTGACTATTAAATCACATTCAGCACAAGTGTTCTAGGCTAAAATGTACCATTTTTTAAGCCATGGGTGTTCAACTCCTAGTCACTTTAGCCACATACTGTATGATTAATTAATTGCATTCTTCCAGGGCTAGATATTACTAGAGTGGTGGTAGAAAGGCAAATTATTCTTATCCCTTGATACAGACCCCAGATTACCTGCCCAAAAGGCTTTACCTATTTATCACTTTTGAAATAACAACCCTGAGTCACCATAAAAAGGTTAGATTACACTTTGTATACTCTGTTTAAGAAGACAGGGAATGTCATAATACAGTTCAGAAAGATGGATATCAAAATAATTAAAAACAAACAAGTTTCATATATCTAGAAAATTCATTTTTATGAAACACTATATTCTGTAATGATGCCTAGCAAATTAGAAGGTAACTTCTTTTGGGACATTATGTTTATCTTGTTCATCACTCCCTTCCCAGCATATAAAATGATGCCTGGCACATAACAGGTATTAAAAAAATTAATTCTCGAGTGATTAAACAAATCAACGAATGACTGAATATCAGAAAAGTGAGATATCGCATGCTATCCACGAGAGTATATGGCATTTAGTACAGACAGAAATGATGAGAACATCATCTTCTTTCCAATTACCAATTCACCTTGGCAAATAAATTATAACAGGGTATGGTGAAAACACACTCCTCCATACCAGGTCCAGTATGCTTGTAAGACAAATTGTGACTTTGCAAGTCTATATTATTGTGACTAAATATCTCCTTAAAACAAAGATTGAGTAAAATGATTCACTTAGAACTTGTAGCAACTTAAAAGGTAACCGTGGTTTTGGGGTGATGAGAAACTTTTATAAATAGATAGTGGTGATTGCACAACAGGGTGAATGTAATTAATGTCATTAAATTGCACATCTAAAAATGGTTAAAATGCAAAATTTTTGTTAGATATATTTTAGCATAATAATTTTTTTAAAAAAGGTAACAATGGTTGGATACATCAATCTAATCAAGCCTGTTAATTATCTCTACATACTTTTTTGGAGAAATATTGCATAAAACAACCTCCAATTGATTTACACATTTAGGTAAGAGAGCTGTACCTGTGAAAAAGATTCCTTAGGTATTCTCTTTTTAAATTTTTTTTTTTAGAAAACACATTCGTTAAATGTTACTGAAATCCTATTCTCTCCAAAACATTCTCAAGTAACACTGTCATTAAACCAGAAAGTTCCTTAAAGATCATTTAGTATGAATAGCTGCTCATCCTTCTGACCTAAGATAAACTGAAATTAATAATCAGCATGCCATAGAGCCAAATTTAAATTTTAAAAATGGAATTCTTCCAAACAAAAGATTTTGTTTCAGCAAGCTTCTATGTTGCAAACTAGCAGTCAACTTAAACGTACAGCAAAGACTGAAACCTAAAGCACGTGCTTAAAAGCTCAACTAGCTGGTACTCTATACAATAGACCACACTTCACCCCATGTCTTAAGTTATGACTCATCTAAATCATCATCCTTTGCTCTGGGCTATGCATAAGTGGTTCCAAGGCATAACGTAACTGGACACTGGGCTTATGAGTGTTTACAAAGAAACGATCGTTTGCATCTTAAAGCACAGAAACTATCATCTTAAAGTTTAACACCATTCCTCAACTAAACAGTATAACTGTTCTCACAACTACTCATGAACATGCTTAATAAAAATTTCACTTTTATTTCCTTCATTTTAAAAATGTTTCCTGTTAAACATGTCATTTATAGAAGCATATTTTTGAATTTTCAGTGAGAGCAAAATAAAACATCCATGTGTCATAAATGTTAAGGGCCTTGCAGCTATAAATCTTGCTTTAGCATTCCAATTAACAAAAACAACAGGGGCAACAGTGACTATCCTTAAAGAGAAGCACACAGGTCCACAAGTTGACACGGGTTGAGTGTACCATAAAATTACTAAGAGGTTCAATACTTTTGGCAGAGAGTGAATAAGTGGACAGCAAGTTTTGTCTATTATGCTGGACCAAGAAATTTGCTATTTAAATTTACTTTAAACCCATTTCCCCTTCCTCTAATTTGGTGAGATCACAGAATTCTGGAGTTGGAAGACACCTTCAGGATAAACTAGTTGATCACCCTGACCTTAACAGACTGAGATCCTGAAAGAAAAAGTGCCTTGCCCTTAATGTTGGCTGATGGCAGAGATAGGACTACAACACAGACCTATGCCATGTTTAATAACCCAGGCTGTAGATAACATGGAAAGCGGCCCTTTCCTTCTGGTCTCTCGTTTCTACCGAAACATGTAACTCTTTGGAGTTCTTCCTTCCAACCCACTTCATGGGTGAAACAGATCTGTCTGCTCCACTTTGGTGTACTGCACTTTCTTCCACTATTTCTCACACTTACCTGAATTCCAAAACATAAGGATACCTCAGTGACAACCAACCTAAAAGAATGTTATCTAGGGACAGCTTCCAAAATCATGATTGCTAAGCGCTAACAGCTTCAACAACTGAGATTTTAAACACTGTGATGCTACAGAAACTAAAAGAAATATAGAAAAGCTTTCTTAAAATTAAACTTTGATCTTAAAGGGTCCATTTCAGTCCAATACCTCGACAACTCTGGCATTAACAAAATGCTGAATATTAAGTGTGAAAAAGGACAGAGATTGAAACAACACATGTACGGTGACTGGGAATTGTTTCGGAGGCTACAGGAGGCAAACAGAAGTATTTTCACAGAGGCACACAAGTCGTCAGGTGCACTTCCCACCCTCAGGAAGGTGTGCAGTCCCGAACTCTCCCCTGCAGCAGCCAAACGGGCTCTACAAGGGACAGACAGGGATTAAGCCTAACACTAGGTAGAGAAGATTCGCTGTGAGCCTCCCCGCCTAAACTCGCCCAAGCCCTCGGCCTCTCCTCGTTGCCCCCCAGGGCACTAGACCCCACATACCTGTGAGATAATTGGTCCACTTGTACAGAACCCCCTCCATCCTTCAGAGCCCCGCGCCGCGCATCCTCCTGGCCCAGCGCTGGCCGCGGAGATGCGGAAGGCGCGGAGCGTGGGGCAGCCCCTCCCCGGGCGCCCCCCGCCGGCACCAAGCTGCCGTCAGTCCGCTCGCCGCCGGAATGTGGCTGCCCTTAGAGGCCGGGCCGGCGGACGCCGCGCGGAGCTCGGAATACGCGAGGCTCGGGCTCGTGCATCCCCGGGCGAGGCTCGGAGGCGGCGGCGGCGGCAAGAAGACAGCCGCGGCCGGCCTCCAGCTCGCGCTTCCGCGACCCGGCTGCTCCCTCCCGCGTCCCAGCACTCCCTCCTCCTCCTCGCCAGCCTTCCTTCCCCACCCCGCCCCGGGCTCCCCGTTTGTTTTCATTGACCCCGACGTCGCTTTCACTTCCTGTATAAAAGGGGCAGGCTCGTCCCGAGAAACCCCTCCCCGGCGGCGGGGCTGGAGGAGCGGGCGAGGCCTGCCCCTCTCCTGCTGTGCGGGAGGCTGCGCGAGGAGAGCGGGCGGCGGCCGAGCACCTTCAGCGTCCCTGCCGGTGACACCCTTCTCCTCCTGCTTCTTCATGCCCTCGGTCGGGGCTCCCCAGTACCCCAACCTTGGCCGCTGAGGTCTGGGTCGGCCGCCCCCCGGGCCAACACCTCTGGGCCCAGGACGGACGGACTTGGTCCCCGCCGCGCGCGCAGCCCCGGGACCCATCAGAGGACGAGCTTTCCTCGCTCTAGTCCCGCAGGTGGTGATTTAGGCCTGTCGGGTTTTCCCTAAAGAAAATAAAATAAAAGGCTTCCTATTTATGTTTCCTTCGTATTCTTCTCACAGTCAGGGTACCTAGAAATTATTTCCTAGTCCTCCGGCAAAAAACGGGAAACGGAATTGTAATTATGCCTGTAATTAACTTTGGATAGCCACAGTTTCATTTAAAATATAAAACATGGAACTAAATTTGGTGTTTTTATTTTATTCTAAAATGGGAGCTTTCCCCTAGCTTTTATGATTTTTAAAAATCTTGCTTGGAAATGATAGTCGTCTTATGTAATTGACAGTAATTTTCAGATTTATGGTATTTTGCAAGCTTTAAGCCAAGCAGATAAAGTAGGCCCAGCGCTGCGGCTTTTCTTAACGTCACTGAGGTAGAATAACACTTGCCCTCACAGGGCGTAATCCAGGCTTTCGCGGAAGGCCTTTGGGTTTAGGGTAAAAAGTCTTTAGATATTCACTCGGAAATAAGGTGGATTGATAGATGGACAGATGAAAATGTGATAAATCAAATATAGTTAAATATCAAAAGAATCTAGGTGATAGGGTTTACTGGCCTTCACTATGTCAACCAGAAACGACCATAACCAGTCTAGGCCGGCCCCAGATGATTCCACCTAGAAGCCTTACTTAACCGGCGGTTTCCAAATCCACATTTTCCTGAGACTTCATCACAGTAAAGCCAAGAACTCTTGCACCTATTACAAATGAAAGAAAGGACTCATAGCCCAATCACAAATCTAACCCCCACCCTTC